AATTGCCCCCTTGGAAAAATGGAATTCAAATTATTAAAGGATTAGGTATCGTATGGCAAGTGATATTGGACGGTCATATCTTTCACAATGGGTACTTCCTGGGCACAGAAACATTGTTTTTTCATTAAAATTATGTTTTCTTTCAAGTGAATCCAGCATTAGTTGTTTGACCTTGAACTTTTATCGGATGACGTCTTTAGTCAAGATTGTCTGAGGAAGCAATTATGAAATGCTATCATTCTAGATCAGTAAAGCAGTGTCAATGAAGGACCAAACACAATAAATGAGAGGTATATCCTCATACCCCAACCGAACTTTTCGATTAGTGTTCAACGTTCACAATACAAAATTGCAATTTCCATTTGAGTGTTTCGACACTACTTTTATTTAATGTAGCTCGTTGATAGTAATCCAACTCTGAGAAACTGGAGAAATACTTTCATACTTTCAAAATCTGAATTGTGGTGCAATTTCAATATACACTCCCCTCCATAAGATTGGCAACCTTTTTTCCACCATTGAACTACGTGTTAAAGCCTCTTTACCGTTGAATTTTTATTTACTTAACCTGCGATGAAAATACTTATACTATTAATGGAAACATAATTTGACTTAAATTCCAATACCTCCAAATTTTCTCAATTTTTTTCCTCAATTACAATAGGTCGAAAATTGATGATAAATTTGATGAATTTTTGAAAATCGACATTCCCATGTTAACCAATGGGAAATGGTAGGTTTGCCGCAAGTCATACGACAGAATATCCATCCATCCGAGTCCTTGCAAAAAATACGAGTTAGACAGGCAATTGAATTTGCTAACTTTATTTAACAAAAAATTGATATGTTTCTTCAGGTTCAACAAAGTTATAGGGCTTTAAAGTCAAAATTGTTTTTCAAAAAACCTCTTCCATTGAAATAACACAGGAGGCGAAAAATTATTTTCAAAATTGACTTTGAAGCGCTATAACTTTAATATTCATCAAATAAACTAAACACTTAGTGTTCAAAAAAGTTAGACAATTCAATTTTCTATTTAAAAATATTTTTTGCTGAATCTTTTACAGAAAAGATATCCTGATTTCTGATTTGCCCCGAACCCTCCATTTCCCATTGGATTACATGGGAATGACGATTTTCAAAAATTCATCAAATTTATCATCAATTTTCGACCTATTGTAATTGAGGAAAAAAATTGAGAAAATTTGGAGGTATTGGAAATAAAGTCAAGTTACGTTTCCATTAATATCATGAGTTATTTCATCGCCGGTTAAGTAAATAAAAATGCAAAGGTAAAGAGGCTTTAACACATAGTTCAATGGGGAAAAAAGGTTGCCAAACTTATGGAGGGGAGTGTATTATTGGCGGATGCTATGGTTAATGTAAATTGAATTACATTTTGGAATCAATTACTTTTACATTAAGGTACTTACCGGGTTATTTGTATAGATATTAGCAAACTATAAGCATTGTTCTTGTGTCATGATTCTGATTAAATTGCACACCGTTTATTCGTGTATGACGGATTAATGTTTTAAATGATGCAAATATGGCATTAAAATTATATATTAACGACATTGAGAACAAAGCATCGACGGGTGGTTTTAGCATTACTTTATTCGAAATGCCCTTTCTGGGCGATTACGCCGTGATTAATATGTAAAATTTATGATTTTTAAGAAATAAAGTGTTTATTATTAAAAAAGCATTATTTTCACTGTTTGCAACGTAAATGTACATGAGATCGAGACATATTGTAACGACCCAAGTTGCTACTACTGTCCAGCTGTAGTGGCTTAAGCCTTTATAGCTTAGTGGGTGGAGCATCAGACTTAGGATCAATGGGTCCTAGGTTCGATTCTCATGCCGGGCATTGAATTTAGCACTCTTTCTTTCAATTTCTTTATCTGGCTTGTTACACTATGCTCGTTGGTTAGTCATTCCCCTGGGGCGCCCTCGGGTCATCACAATAGTATGAAATGTAAATCAAAATGCCAAATGAACATATGAAAACATATAAAGGTGCGCTGTTCTTACCGAATGATTCCTCTGAAAACCGTTTTACTTTGAAAACTACGAATACATGGGTATTATTTACACTCCCCTCCATAAGTTTGGCAACCTTTTTTCCCCATTGAACTACGTGTTAAAGCCTCTTTACCTTTGAATTTTTATTTACTTAACCTGCGATGAAAATACTTCTACTATTGATGGAAACGTAATTTGACTTTAATTCCAATACCTCTAATTTTTCTCAATTTTTTTCCTCAATTACAATAGGTCGAAAATTGATGATAAATTTGATGAATTTTTGAAAATCGACATTCCCATGTTAACCAATTGGAAATGGTAGGTTTGCCGCAAGTCATATGAAAGAATATCCACCCATCCGAGTCCTTGCAAAAAATACGAGTTAGGCAGGCAATTGAATTTACTAACTTTATTTAACAAAAAATTGATATGTTTCTTCAGGTTCAACAAAGTTATAGGGCTTTAAAGTCAAAATTGTTTTTCAAAAAACCTCTCCCATTGAAATAACACAGGAGGCGAAAAATTATTTTCAAAAATGACTTTGAAGCGCTGTAACTTTAATATTCATCAAATAAACTAAACACTTAGTGTTCATAAAAGTTAGACAATTCAATCTTCTATATAAAAATATTTTTTTGCTGAATCTTTTACTGAAAAGACATCCTGATTTCTGATTTGCCCCGAACCCTCCATTTCCCATAGGATTACATGGGAATGACGATTTTCAAAAAATCATCAAATTTATCATCAATTTTCGACCTATTGTAATTGAGGAAAAAAATTGAGAAAATTTGGAGGTATTGGAAATAAAGTCAAGTTGCGTTTCCATCAAGATTATTAGTTATTTCATCGCCGGTTAAGTAAATAAAAATTCAAACGTAAAGAGGCTTTAACACGTAGTTCAATGGGGAAAAAAGGTTGCCACACTTATGGAGGGGAGTGTACTTATCTGATCTTGAATTATTATGAAAATAAAATAAAAAGAATTAAAAAGACACCAACTTAGGCAAGGCAATACTTTATACTAATACTCTTAGCATTATTATCTTTCCAGTGCGACTAACAACTTTACTGTAGAATTACCCAAATATTGTTACAAGACCTTTTATGAACCATAATGGAATATGGAACTCATATTCCCTATATTTGTCTCAATCATCATTATGATAAACCATCACATCTCATTTCTTCTCAGCATCTATGGCGAAACAGAATGCTCGATCATCTTTATTATATAGTCTAAGCAGCTAAGCAGCCGGTCTGCTACACGATCTCTGTTACTTAGCAACGGTAACAGGACAACTCATCCCTAAGACAACTTATCACAAGACATCTCATCCCAAGACAACTCATCCCCAAGACAACTCATCCCCAAGACATCTCATCCCAAGACAACTTATCCCAAGACATCTCATCCCAAGACAACTCATCCCAAGACAACTCATCCAAAGACATCTCATCCCAAGACATCTCATCCCAAGACAACTCATCGCAAGACATCTCATCCCAAGACATCTCATCCCAAGACATCTCATCTCAAGACAACTCATCCCCAAGACAACTCATCCCAAGACATCTCATCCCCAAAACAACTCTTCCCAAGACATCTCATCCCAAGACAACTCATCCCAAGAGATCTCATCCAAAGACAACTCATCACAGGACATCTCATCCCATAACATCTCATCCCTAAGACAACTCATTCCAAGACATATCATCCCAAAACATCTCATCCCAAGAATCTCATCCCAAGAAAACTCATCCCAAGACATCCCATCTAAAGACATCCCATCCCAAGACAACTCATCCTCAAGACATTTCATCCCAAGACATCTTATCCCCAAGACAGCTCATCCCCAAGACATCTCATCCGAAGACATCTCATCTCAAGACAACTCATCCCCAAGACAACTCATCCCAAGACAGCTTATCCCAAGACATCTCATCCCAAGACAACTTATACCAAGACATCTCATCCCAAGACATCTCATCTCAAGATATCTCATCCCCAAGACAACTCATCCCAAAGACATCTCATCCCAAGACAACTCATCCCCAAGACAACTCATCCCAGGACATCTCATCCCCAAGACAACTCATCTCAAGACAACTCATCCCAAAGACAACTCATCCCAAGACATATCATCCCAAGACATATCATCCCCAAGAAAACTCTTCCCAACACAACTCTTCCCAAGACAACTCATCCCAAGACATCTCATCCCAAGACAACTCATCCCAAGACATCTCATCCCAAGACATCTCATCCCCAAGACAACTCTTCCCAAGACAACTCATCCCAAGACATCTCATCCCAAGACATCCCATCCAAAGACATCCCATCCAAAGACAACTTATCCAAAGACAACTCATCCCCAAGACAACTCATCCCAAAACAACTCATCCAAAGACATCTCATCCCAAGACAACTCATACCAAGACATCTCATCCCAAGATATCTTATCCCAAGACAACTCATCCCAAGACATCTCATCCCAAGAAAACTCATCCCGAGACATCCCATCCAAAGACATCCCATCCCAAGACAACTCATCCTCAAGACATTTCATCCCAAGATATCTCATCCCCAAGAGAACTCATCCCCAAGACATCTCATCCCAAGACAACTTATCCCAAAACATTTCATCCCGAGACATCTCATCTCAAGACAACTCATCCCCAAGACAACTCACCCAAAGACATCTCATCCCAAGACATCTCATCCCCAAGTCAACTCTTCCAAAGACAACTCATCCCAAGACATCTCATCCCAAGACAACTCATCCAAAGACATCTCATCCAGAGACATCTCATCCCAAGACATCTCATCCCAAGACATCTCATCCCTAAGACAACTCTTCCCAAGACAACTCATCCCAAGACAACTCATCCCAAGAAATCCCATCCAAAGACATCCCATCCCAATACAACTTATCCCAAGACAACTCATCCCCCAGACAACTCATCCCATGACATTTCATCCAAAGACATCACATCCCAAGACAACTTATCCCAAGACAACTCATCCCCAAGACATCTCATCCCCAAGACAACTCTTCCCAAGACAACTCATCCCAAGACATCTCATCACAAGACATCCCATCCAAAGACATCCCATCCCAAGACAATTATCCCAAGACAACTCATCCCCAAGACAACTCATCCCCAAGACAACTCATCCCAAGACACCTTATCCCAAGACCTATCATCCCCAAGACATCTCATCCCCAAGACAACTCTTCCCAAGACAACTCATCCCAAGACATCTCATCCCAAGACATCCCATCCAAAGACATCCCATCCCAAGACAACTTATCCAAAGACAACTCATCCCCAAGACAACTCATCCCCAAGTCAACTCATCCCAGGACACCTCATCCCAAGACATATCATCCCAAATACAACTCATCCCAAGACATCTCATCCCAAGACATCTCATCCAAAGACATCTCATCCCTAGACATCTCATCCCAAGACATCTCATCCCCAAGACAACTCTTCCCAAGACAACTCATCCCAAGACATCTCATTCAAAGACATCCCATCCAAAGACATTTCATCCCAAGACAACTTATCCCAAGACAACTCATCCCCAAGACAACTCATCCCAAGACATCTCATCCCAAGACAACTCATACCAAGACATCTCATCCCAAGATATCTTATCCCAAGACAACTCATCCCAAGACATCTCATCCCAAGAAAACTCATCCCAAGACATCCCATCGAAAGACATCCCATCCCAAGACAACTCATCCTCAAGACATTTCATCCCAAGATATCTCATCCCCAAGACAACTCATCCCAAAGACATCCCATCCAAAGATATCCCATCCCAAGACAACTTATCCAAAGACAACTCATCCCCAAGACAACTCATCCAAAGACACCTCAACCCAAGACATATCATCCCCAAGACAACTCATCCCAAGACATCTCATCCCAAGACAACTCATCCCAAGACATCTCATCCCAAGACATCTCATCCAAAGACATCTCATCCCCAAGACAACTCTTCCCAAGACAACTCATCCCAAGACATCTCATCCAAAGACATCCCATCCAAAGACATTTCATCCCAAGACAACTTATCCCAAGACAACTCATCCCCAAGACAACTCATCCCAAGACTACTCATCCCAAGACATCTCATCCCAAGACAGCTCATCCCAAGACATCTCATCCCAAGATATCTCATCCCAAGACAACTCATCCCAAGACATCTCATCCCAAGAAAACTCATCCCGAGACATCCAATCGAAAGACATCCCATCCCAAGACAACTCATCCTCAAGACATTTCATCCCAAGATATCTCATTCCCAAGACAACTCATCCCCAAGACATCTCATTCCAAGACAACTTATCCCAAGACATCTCATCCAAAGACATCTCATCTCAAGACAACTCATCCCCAAGACAACTCATCCCAAGACATCTCATCCCAAGACCTCTCATCCCCAAGACAACTCTTCCCAAGACAACTCATCCCAAGACATCTCATCCCAAGACAACTCATCCAAAGACATCTTATCCAAAGACAACTCATCCCAAGACATCTCATCCCTAAGACAACTCTTCCCAAGACATCTCATCCCAAGACATCCCATCAAAAGACATCCCATTCCAAGACAACTTGTCCCAAGACAACTCATCCCCCAGACAACTCATCCCAAGACATCCCATCCAAAGACATCCCATCCCAAGACAACTTATCCCAAGACAACTCATCCCCAAGACATCTCATTTCCAAGAAAACTCTTCCCAAAACAACTCATCCCAAGACATCTCATCCCAAGACATCCCATCCAAAGACATCCCATCCCAAGACAACTTATCCCAAGACAACTCATCCCCAAGACAACTCATCCCAAGACATATCATCCCCAAGACATCCCATCCAAAGACATCCCATCCCAAGACAACTTATCCAAAGACATCTCATACCCAAGACAACTCATCCCAAGACATCTCATCCCAAGACAACTCATCCCAAGACATCTCATCCCAAGATATCTCATCCCAAGACAACTCATCCCAAGACATTTCATCCCAAGATAACTCATCCCAGGGCATCCCATCCAAAGACATCCCATCCCAAGACAACTCATCCTCAAGACATCTCATCCCAAGATATCTCATCCCAAAGACAACTCATCCCTAAGACATCTCATCCCAAGACAACTTATCCCAAGACATCTCATCCCAAGACATCTCATCTCAAGACAACAATTCTCCAACATTAATTCAGTCTTTGTTTGTTTTAAAATATTTAGTTTGATTCCATATGTCATAGTTGGCTTATTTTTAAATAAGATTTCCAATTTTAAACTTTCAGAATCATGATGATTATATTCGGAAATTATGTCTTTTATCTTCAATTATATATTCTCATCGTTTATGTGAGGAGGTTTTTAAAATCAGACGCAGGTTAAAGCTAATAACACAATACGCGTTGGGAAGAGCTCCCTTAGTTCACAGTCCTCATCATCTCTCTCGACATATACTTCTACTTCGCACAGAACAGGATCTTAAGAGGTCCTGGACAAATCATTTGATTCTGGACTTGTCATGTTTTTTTTCAACGAAATCACATTCAAGGGTTGAATTTTTATTTGCTATTCACAGAGCGAGTCCTACGTAGTATTATTTTCAATAAAAATGTTATAATAGAACCCTATTTGAGAGTTAATCTAATACTTACAGTACATTCATGATAAACTAAGGCAAATCCTGAAATATGTTTTAAGTGCATTTTTTTATGAAATTTTGTCCAAGAATTTAGTATTTTCCATGAAATTCAGTTGAATGGTCAAGATAAAACGAGCTAATTTAGGTGAAAACCCTTACATGATGATGTGTTTTCATGACTTTTATCATAAAATTCCATCAATGGGTGAAGATAAAATGATCGAATTTAAGTGATTTAAGGATGTTTTCATGGATGTTTTCTATGAAATCCCATCCAATGGTCAAGGTAAATTTTGATTTTGATTTGGTATTAGGTCACGTGTTCGAAAGAATCATTTAAGGCCCATAGAACCATAAAGGAATGTCATTTTGAATGTCACGCGATAGATCCATATAAGGCTTTTAGAACCATGTCGGGAAAGATGAGGGGAAGCCCCTGACCCTCTTTCACGATTTTATCCGAACGTTGTTCGGAAATTTCGGTTTTTATGCACTTCATCTTTGTACCGAAGTTTGCCGATTCGATTCGTCGTATTTCGGAATCCTGGTGACAATTGTATACTCCATTGGAGTATTTTTGATCTACTTCTTATGACGAAAATTCCAGAACCTTGTTCGGATTAATCCGGATTTTCTAACCTACTTTATCTACCGAGATTTCACGAGTTAACGTTCATCTCATTTAGGAATCCTGGTGACAATTTTATACTCCATTGGAGTATTTTTGAACTACTTCTTATATTATGACGAAAATTCTCGAACCTTGTTCGGATTAATCTGGATTTCTGACCAACTTTATCTACCGAGAGATTTAACGAGTTAACATTCGTCTCATTTCGGAATCCCAGTGACAATTTTATACTCCATTGGAGTATTTTTGATCTACTTTTTCTTGATTTTGCTCAACTTTAATTATTATAATTTGACAACAAGCAAATTAAAAAATCCGACATGAACGGGTCTCGATCGACTAACCTAGAGCGTGGAAGCTTGGCACGTTTACCATGAGGCCAACGTGCTACCGATATGAAAGAACAAAAGTATAATATATTTATATCGAGAGTCAATTCAAAATGATCTTCACTTTTGACTCCACTTAAATATAACTCGTAAGTTGTATCCAGAAAAGGTGAGCGCCTATGGCGCTATTGAATAACCAAGTCCTAGGTGAGTGTTTCGTATCCCTCCGTGATATACATTATTTTTGCTTTATTAAATACGACAGAAAGGAGCAAGGTGTAGGTTGAAAACAAGACGTTAGTTTGTTTCAAAACAGTTTAAAAAACATTAACCTATGATACTTAAAGGTTTTCCACTCCTGAAGGGCCTCTAGATATATGAAGTTCATTAATCAAGACAGTGTAAAATGTTTAGACATATGTAATACGTTTTCATAATTAAGCCTGTGAAATCAACTAAATATTACATTTGGATTTCATTGATATCCTGTCATAGCCCTAAAATGTTTTTTTTTTCTGGAAAATTATTTTTTCAACACTGATACAAATTTCCCTGACATTTCCCTGACATATCTACCGTTTCAAAATTACCAGCTATGAAATAATAGTATAATCACCATGCTTACCTGCTTTTTGGTAATAGTCTACTCTTTCAGATGTAGGAGACGGGGTAGATGAACTGTTGCCATTCAATTCGCAAACTGCTTTGTAAATCGTGTCGTCTATCATGCGCAGATTATACGAGGCGCATTCTGGCGTTGCTGTGCAGGTAGCCGCGCATCGTTCGTTCGTTAGCACTTTTAAAGATTTGAGTGGCTTGTCCAGTTGTTCTGCATTCGTTGTTTTTGAATACTTCGTTTTTCCCGGCTGTTGATTGGAAAGATTGATGGAAATCTGAACTTTTCCCATTTGAACTAATGGAATTAAACACGCGAAAATAAGAATGCTCGATTCCATCATTCTCGTAAGTTTTGTACTTTCTCTTCAAAGTTTTTTCTTCTGTGGTCGTTCTGTCTTGGATTCTGTTTCGCGGAGTAACTATATGAACCTGATATTGATATGTATTATATATTCGAGGGGATGATTTGCAATATAGTGTTTTATGTTTGACAAATGGAACTGCGCTATCCGATTGGTTATTAATTACTCGTCCCATGTCAGCCAATGATTTGCAGATAATCTGACGTCATCGTTTATATTTAACAGTACATTATTAGAATATAACTTCCTCACCACCATCATCTATTTTATAAGGTTTATTAAGATCGTAACAATCACATAAATATGTATGTAGCCATACAAATTTGATTATCATCAGCATTTACTAAATTGTAAACATAAAAATGTATTAAAATAATTACAAAACAGTGATATTTAATTTACATTGGTGTGGTTATGTGACGCCAACTTGTTTTTATTATGTCACTACCAAGATGTGGTGGCATGTTGATATGGTCTCCGTTTTTTGTAACGGCTGTTGGTGGGTGGCGGTTGACGTCCGGCGGGTGGTGGTTGGCGGTTGGAGACTGTAACAACCTCCATTTACTCAACGAATTCTGTTTAGACTTTTTCAAAACTCATCTTCAAATTTGAAGAAGCTCCTTTTGATAAGGAGACCTTTGATAAACTCCTCGGGGTAAAAGAGGTAAAAATGGTCAAATTGCCCAATCAATTGTTTTTTAAAAGTTCTCAGAAGTTCAGATTTGACTTTCGATTTCAGAGTTTAACTTCCCTGATCTACTCAAGATCAAAATATGACTAAAAGGTAGTTTTTCAACTTGTTTCAAATCGACCATCGACAAGTTCTCAGAAATTCAAATCTGATTTTTAGATGAAGAGTTGACCTTAGATGACCTCAATGTAAAAAGGTATACTGTATACGTGTGAACACAATCGGATGTACCCTAATGGTGTCTTATTCATAATTCAATAAATGAAATCATTTGTCGTCTGTATGTGAAGTCTATTTGCCTTATGATAATACATTTACTGTAGTACATTGGTTCTCCTAATATTATTTCCTTATAAATATCCAAACTTTAATCAACAACAGCTTCAAAATTATCATATATTGTATTTCACCGGAACGTTTGTAAAATATCGTATATGGTATGAGAGCTGTGCAAAATATTGTATATGATATAAAAGCGGTGAAAAAATATTGTATATGGTATAAGAGAGCTGACAAAATATTGTATATGGATTTCCAACACCCCCTATACACCCCCGTTAGAAGTACACAATATTGTTATGATATGATGTTTATTTTCAACGTATTTCCAAACGTTTGCCAATATTCCACGGGGGTAAAGGATACCCGATGACACAATGAGATTGCTCGGCGGTACCATGACTGTGTAACGGGTCTTGATGTATAAATGAGCTCGGTGGTAGGTTCAAACAACGCGGATCCTCAAAGCATGTGCTCATGGTATCATCGTGGCTTAACACCCGTGATATATATTCTGTTATAATTTACGATCTCTGTCACACCATAAAATATAAAAATAAGATTCGGATCTTCCTTGTTAAACTCCATTGTTTTCGTGCTTTCATTAGTTGACATTTTGAATACATTTGTAAAATCTTTATCCCGCGTTTGTTATAAAGTATTGAACCTTTTCTTGGGCGGACATCCTGAAACTAATTCACCGTCTGTCAAATCGGATGAAAATACTTTTTACTAAATTAAGTGAAGTGACGTCATTTTAATTGAATATTATAGGAATATTCCATGGCTTTGAAAAATGCTGCGCTTTGAAAAATGCTGCGCTCACTCGCGAAGATATCAATATCCACTCATGGATATAAGTGATATTTTTGAGAAACCATAGAATTGAACGTTTATCCCATGAGGAATTATTATGAAATCTGCAAATTAAAACTGCTATTCGGATTGAGTCATATCCACACAAGGGAAAGATCAAGACCCGGTGATTTCAGCAGGAAGTGGCGTTTCGTTCAGTGGATGAGCTGCGCGCGCACGCATAAATGTGATTATCCAATATATTTAGGGGAGGGCTATTTGAAATAGTTTTTGGTCTCAGGCGCGACCCAGGGCTGTTGTCTTAAAGACATTTCGTTGAAAATGAGCCATTCGGCTGATAATTGGTAAGAGTTTGCGATCTTATAATGTATAACTGTTACTCAGACACATATTTTGACACGATTCTGTTGGAAATAAGATTTGAACCGAGAGATATTTACGATTTATAAGCACATTTTTGATTGTGCCATTGCTTTTCCATTGCACAATCCATGTATTGATAGAAGTAACATTAATAATGCAGATTGGTTTACCTTCAATACATGTCAGACACTACATATCGGTCTATTAAATACCAGTTTGTGCCTTAAATAGTTTTATATTTCCATCCACGGCCTGGAGCCTGAGTGTGCTTGTCTCTTATG